TCTTCTACGTCACCCCATTCAAGTGAATGGGCGAAGCGTTGAAAGCATTTTTCGATGCCTGTAGTGTAGACGGGCCGTTAGTCATCAGGGGCTTTTATAAACATTGACCCTGTTTTACCTTTTCTCTTTTGATCATTCATTCTGTTCACACTGAGGATTCTGCAGCTTGAGTTTGGTAAATTGAGTATGTATCTCCCAAAGGTACAGCAATTGTTTTTTAAATGTAATTTGTCTGTTTTGCATGCGTCTCATGTTTTACAGATACTCCGACCACACCATTGAGGCCCTAGAGATGTTTGACAATGATGACAAGATTGACCTTGAGCTGATCTTGGCACTGATTCGCCACATTGTGCTCAAAGAGGAGGTGAGATTAGCGTTGTATGTCTGCTTTGAGGGCCGAGTGGTGTCTTTAAATTAGATTTTCAAGAGGTGCGTCTGTGCTCCATTTTATGGAAATTGGATTCCTGTAAGTTTGTTATCTGAGTCTGGGTAGTCTAAAAGACCTGAGTGCTTCACAAGAAAGGAGATTTTTGGCATGACAACTCCGACTGTAGACAGGCCGACAGTGCAGTTGTCCATTAGGAAGATTAAACTGTAGTTCAAAGAAACTCACTAAAGGACAATTACAGTGCATTCCTAGGTAGAGCAGATGGAAGCAACAGGAGTGCTCGCTTCCAAACAGAGTGACGTTAGATCAGAGGATACAACACAGAACCTGGCAGCAGATCTGTGCTAATGAGTTATCGAACAGATGCTCTCTCAGCGCACATCAATTCCCTTTTTCTCCTTCCAGTTCTTGTTAAATGACCAAGTTTTGATGTTATTTCAGTGTTCGATTCAGACTTTGGTAAATATGGAATATAATGATAAACGTCTATTTTTGTTGTGTGCATTCTTTACTTTTTCAGTACACATGGTAACATCCACATCAGAATTATTGGTGCAGACAAAATATAGGGCAGGCAAAGCAGAACATTTCGAAAAATAGTGAATTCCCTTTTCTTTTGTGACTGTGTGAGGAAACAAAGCTGCAGATTGGAATAGGCTATCACAATCAATTTAGTTTACCCTTTTTTCAGTATAGTATAAACAAGGGTAAGGACAATTCAGGAAAGTGCTAGAATCGATGGGAGTGACACACGGTCTGCCCTAACTTACTCTGTATTTTCCTAAGTGAAGTCAAACTAGTCGGGCTTATTTGTCAGTTTGTGGCTGTGTATGTGGACCACGTATACGAGAGAGCAACAGAAAAAAGAGAGGGGCCAGGAATGAGGCGTGACTAATGCAGATTGACAGAATAATTATCTCCTTCCCTATGAAGCCGTATCTCTATCCGTCACGGCCACACTGAGCCATTGGACCAGCTGATTCGCCGTGGCATTGTCAAACGGCCGAGCGGGAACTGGCTGACTTGCCGTGTCGGCGTTCTGAACCGAGGCTACGGGCCGTCTGCCAGCCGTTCCACTGTGATGATTGCTTAATTATGTTGCAGGAGTCTGGGATTAGACACCTCGGGGGATGACATGCAGGCATTAATGAACGCCTGCTGCTAAGTGTGTGTATGTGGAGAGTGTGTGTGTGCGTGCTAAATAGTAGGCCAACTCTACAGCGCTTACTGTGCTGTTGTTGATTATTTAGTTGGAATTGGTCAGAGTGTGTTTCTGTCCTGCATGTGTGAGGACATGTGTTTCTGTCAGATTGTGAGTACACACACTGCCTGCATCTCTCTCTTCCTCCTCTCTCTTGCACATGCACGGTCATTAACACACATGTGTATGGTCCCATGTGGGTGCTAGTATCTGAGCACTGTTAATAATAATTAGCTGTAATTAAAAGGCAGGGGTGCTCAGGGCACAGAAGCTACTTTTTATCTCTGTTCTTCTTTCCTCTCAGGAAATGAAAAGACCTTTTTTCAGAGTGGGTTATTTTTCACCAGCGTGATATCATCCTGGGTATATTTTTTTGCTTAAAGTTTGTTTCATGTCTGTGTTAATGATTTAGTCACTTAATTACCTTTCAAGATGCCACCTTACTTTTGTTTATAACTCTGTTTAAGTATGCGTATCAAACTCAATACTTTAAATTACTGCTTGAAATGTTATCGTAGCACCTGCCAAAATGGGCATCAATATCCTGGTTAAGTTCAATCGTATTCTTTCTTCAGACATTTATTGCCGTAAATCAGTAAAGGAAGAAGAACCTAACTGTATAGTATATATGTAAACATCTTGAAAGGCTGCTTGGTTACGTTAAACACACATGTATTGAGAAGTTTGTCATGTTATTAAGTGAAAATGGTTTATAGAAATACATGTTCATATTCCTCAAAAGAAGATGTTGGAAAAAAAAGATCATATTAGTATTATCAACCAATGCTCAAGCACTGATTGGCACCAGGCTTGAAAACTTTCAAAAGTACACTTCCCTGCCTTAAATGACTTCCTTTTGTCCGGCTGTTCTTTATATCTGATAATGCTATATAGGATTATAATCTGCTATAATATCCGGTCTTGCATGATCAATTGATTGATTCTCCGTGTCCTAATTATGGCTGCTACTATAGTAACATTGCTCCTCCATTAATCACCCAAGGTACATTATCGATTGAAGCATGATGGGATGATGTTTTCAAGTTTGAGGAGCTGACACGTTCTTTTTGTTAAGTGGTCATCCATTTTAGTTTTAGACAGCTTAATGTGCAGACATGTGCTCTGGCTGGAATACCTCCAACTCTCACTCTGATGCATTTGTGTGTCTTTATGCCTCGAGACTTTATCCCCGTGGTAATGTAGAGCAGAGGATGCCCTAGAGGGAAGATGTTGTCATAATGATGTTGGCAGGCGATGTCAGGGCCTATTGTGTGGCTAAATGTGGAGGTTCGGAGCTGAGGGCACGTCATCTCTCCAAGGACACGGGCAAATTGTTCACTTGGCTCAGTTGTTGCTGAGACTCCTCTGGCTAATGGCTCTTCTGTGAAGCCCTGCTGGTTTTTTGTTTGTCTTCCAGCTGCTAAGTGTTGTGTCATGCCTTTGTCTGACAGGAAGGAGCAATCTTGGTCTTCCTGCCTGGCTGGAGCGACATCAGCAGTCTCAATGACCTGCTCACGGCTCAGCAGATGTTCCGATCAGGTACAATAACATAACATTATGTGATACAAGAGCAGACCAGTGACTTTCAGGTTACTATGGAGAAGAAGAAATCCTTGTTAAACTACGGTTGTGCTCCACCCTAACATGTGTTCTGCTTATTGGTTCTTCACTTGGATGTTTACCCTTCACTGTGCAGAAAATCCCCAGAGTAGAACTCTATGATGTTTTTGCATTCAATTACAACTAACATCATTTAATTAGAAATAACATGGATTTTAGAAAATACTGAATGGCCATTTCACCTTTGACTGACATTGTATTGACTAACAAGCAATTTATCAATGAAGGACACATTTCATAATTAGTGGAAATATGTGTTAGTTGCAGCCCTTGTGTTTGGTGAAACACTAACAAAACCTCTACTCCACAAACTGTAAATATACTTTTCAGTAGTAGACTACGTTTTAGAATTTTACATTCTTAACCAAGTCTAAGGGATCTTTAAAATATTGGATACAAAAAACGATGTCTGTGTTGTTTTCTGCTCATATTAAATAATAATAAACCAGATTATTTTATTGCATTTACCTGGACATCCATGGTTACATTTGTAAATGTAATTGTTTCCAATTCACACACGAGCAGTATAATCTTGTTTGAGTTTGTCTTTGTGTCCTTTTGTGTTTCAGATCGGTTCGTCATCATCCCTCTGCATTCCCTCATGCCTACCGTTAATCAGACCATGGTCAGCATCCCTGTCTCTGTCTGTTTCTGTCTCTGCCTGTGTCTGTGGATTGTCCCGCTTTACTCCCTCTTCAATATCAATAAAGTCCATTCAATCTCATCTTTCTCCCTCACTCTTTTCAGGTGTTCAAAAGGCCTCCTCCTGGAGTTAGAAAGATTGTGATCGCTACCAATATAGCCGAGACCAGGTATATACGTGTGTGTGGGTGTGTGTGCTTTGTACTGATTTAGTATTTATTCCAGCTCCTTTTTTATTTCTCTTGCTCTTTTTCTCTCTCCACCACCCCCCACAGCATTACCATAGATGACGTTGTTTATGTGATTGACGGAGGCAAGATTAAAGAGACACACTTTGACACCAACAACAACATCAGCACTATGACTTCAGAGTGGGTCAGCCTGGCCAACGCTAAACAGAGGAAAGGACGTGCCGGCAGGTGTGTATGTTTATACGGTTATCTTTAAAACCAGGGCATGCTCTATAAATGTTCCTCTGGGTATGCAATGCTAATTTAGAAGAATTATTATTCATTCTATGTGTCATGTCAGCTCTCTGTCACTCTGCCCCATGAGCCCTCTCCTTCCCATCTGTAACCGTAGTGCTAACAGTCTGGATGTTTCCAGTCGGTGACTCCAGACGTCTGTTCTGTTAGCGGGCTCTCACACTAAAGTGGAGCTAGGCCTTATTATTAGCAGGAGCTTCTTATAGTGTGACGTTTCATCCCATTGATTTTAAATTACGCTTTTTGTCACAGGACTGATAACCTATTTCTCTTCCCTTCTTTCCCACTCTCTTCTTGTTTCCAGAGTGTGTCCGGGGAAGTGCTATCACCTGTACAATGGTCTCAGAGCCAGCCTGCTGGATGCCTATCAGTTACCTGAAATCATGAGGACACCGCTGGAGGAGCTCTGCCTGCAGATCAAGGTTGGGAATGTGCAGAGAGGAAGGGGGGAGACAGACCGACAGAGAGAGAGAAATGCTGTTGGCTGTTGAGATGAAGACAAGATTGCTGTGAATGAGTTGTGTGGGGACGAGGACAGTGTTGCTGCTTGTTGACATTGTATTGAAATACAGCCTCTCCTGCCTAATGAAAACTAGGGATTAGCATTCTGGGTTGACTCGTCCCCCCAGCTCTCTCTCTCTACCTCTCTTTGCTGACAACATAATCGCTTCTCTTCTGTATCTGTAGCTTTCTTCTTTGGATGCTTACTATTTTTTCATCTCCTCTTTTTAAATACTCACACTCCACTCAGACATGTTTCAACCCAAGCTAATGGAACATTAAGCCAAAGTTCACTCAGAATCGAATGATTGTTATCTCCAGTGGCTTTGTGGGATATGCTTTTGAGTGTGTTTCTTTCACTACTTTAGTCGAGTGCGTGTGTGATGTTGTTGAGAGGTGGACTAATGCATCAGTGTGTCCTTAAAGTGAGAGAAACACTGACGACATGCACACCCTGAGCAGACTCTAATGCACAAGCACTACAACACCGACCTAGTCATTGAATTGCTGTCGCTACCTTACACTTAAATTCGTCACAGGTGGATTTTTTTTGTTTATTTTATAATCTCTCTTTAGTGTAGAAGTGAATACAGATTTAAAAATGTTGATTTGAATAGTGTTGGTTGTTTAGTCACATACTATAACAACGTTATAACATATATATGTATATATATATATTTCCCACAATTCAGTGTTTGCCACACATACAAAGCATATAGACAAACAGGGGTGGATTAATTTAGAAAAACAACATGTTTTTGCTGATACATGTGTAATGTGTTTTTGCTGCCTAGATATTGAGGCTCGGGTCTATAGCCCAATTCCTAGGGAAAGCCCTGGACCCCCCGACTGAAAAGGCTGTTAACCTAGCCATCAAGAACCTCATTGACCTGGTAAGAAAGTGAAAAGATCATTCAAAATGTACTCAAGGTCTGCAACTAATGATACGTTTTATCGTTGAGTAATTTGACAATTTTCTTGATTTTTATCAGTTTTTTTGATTTGCTCTATGAAAACTGCAGAAGATGTGCCCACTGCTATTTCAGATTGGATGTCTTGATTAGTTTGTTTTGTGCAATGAACAGTCTTTGTTAGTAAATCGATCATTTTCAGGTTTTATTCTAACAATTACAGCAATCTCTAAGACAAAGATAATAGAAATGTTTGGTCTTTTTGCTTGAACAATTAAAACAATGATTCGTTGATTTTCCAAATAGCCGGGTAGTAATTTTAGGCCAGTCACCTAATTAATTAATATTGTTTATTACAATGTTCAGCTTTATTTAACAGTCTCTACCAACATGTATAGGAAGCGACACCATCTTGTGATGTGAGCATGTAGTTTCAAGGTCTTCTGTCTGAAAGTGTTATCGACAAATCTTTCCAAAGATGTTCTTCCTTTCATGGAGGAGGTAGGTCGAAAGAGGACTAAAAGAGAAATCGGTGCTCATTCAAAGATTGAAAGGATAAAGCACGATCCTTTTTTCATGCTAACAAGGTTAAAATACTAAGCAAATCAATAGAGGAAGTGGAACATGGGTCTGACAGTAACAACACTCAAAGCAGCAGTTAAGAGTTAATAAACCTCAATGCATATTATGTGATCAGGTTAAATATTTATTTTACTTTGATAGAAGGTTGAACAGGTTTACAAGTGTATGTGTCTAAAAGAACAGAAACGCTATAAATAACTATAATTTAACACAGAATGAACATTGAATTACTAACTCCTATATGTTTATGGTGAGTTATGGAATTTTAAAACTCACACATATTAACACTTTCTAATCATTTACTTAAAATAAAGGCACCCTATGAAGCGTACTCCCTTATTATTTAAAGCACATCATTGCCTCTTCAGCCAACAAGATGACCTTTATCCCACACATGTCCAGAGTTACTGTATTGAACTAGAAAACAAAACCAGACAAGGTTACTTCACTAATCCGATTGAATGCTCATACACATCATTTTCAATTAAGTAAAGGGTTTTTGCTTTGCCTGAACTCTATGTGAACTGAAAGCTTTTAAAAGATTATTGCTGTGTTAACAAATGCTTTTTTCACTGTGACTCCGTTGTGTGTTAGAACGCCCTGGACCATTCAGAGAATCTGACAGCGCTGGGTTTCCACCTGGCTCGTCTGCCTGTGGAGCCTCACATCGGCAAACTCCTCCTGTTCGGAGCCCTGTTGGGCTGCCTGGACCCCGTGTTCACCATCGCTGCTTCACTCAGCTTCAAAGACCCTTTCTTCATCCCCCTGGTAGGGCACTGAGTTGCCAAATAAATGTTGTTGTACTTTGTATGATGACAATAAAGATATATTCTATTCTAAACATGAAAGCTTGTGCGACAGCATCAAACTTCAACTCATTGCTGCGCTCTCCTACTGACTTATTCAATTGCAAAGTTGCTCTTAAAGGGACCGATGTAAATGACTGCTTTATTTTATTGCTATCTTACTATATTTGTATTACAGCGTTCTTAATATAGTTCACTATCTGTGTTCTTTTTTACATTTTGTTTTTTATTTGTATGTATGCATCATGACACCTTGTCAAATTCCTCATACGTGTGAACCTACCTGCTAATAAACCTCTTTCTGATTCTGATATTTCTAAATGCCTCTCTCAGGGGAAAGAGAAGATGGCAGATATGAGGAGGAGGGTCCTGTCCAGAAACTCCAAGAGTGACCATCTCACTATTGTCAACGCCTTTCAGGTAAGAGAGCCACAACTGTCACATGTGTCCTACCTCTCGGTCTGATGTATAAATATATATATAAATGGATCCCGTCTGAATGTATCCGTTGATAGGGCTGGGAGGAAGCGAAACAGCGTGGTTCCAGGTGTGAGAGGGAGTACTGCTGGGACAACTTCCTGTCCGCCAACACACTCCAGGTGAGCCAGGCTGTGCTGATCTCTATACTGAAGTGCTGTTGAAAATAAAACGACAGAGCGTGTTAAAGTTAGCTTCTGCCTGGGCTGATGCATCATGCAGCCGGTTTGAAAGTCATTGTTTTATCATTTAGATGCTGCACAACATGAAGGGTCAGTTTGCTGACCATCTCATGAACACAGGCTTCGTCAGCAGCAGAGACCCCAAAGATCCCAAATCTAATGTCAACTCAGGTAACTGTCTGAAAATTGTCTTTTTTTTAATAGGATCTTGGTACCACTTTACAATAAGACTACCCCTATAAAGGATTGATAAAGGGTTTCTAATGAGGTTATGAATTAGGTTGTAAACACTTTATTAATCCTCAAAAACCATTTACAAACCAGTTCTAACAGTTTTCATACATCAACACAGGCTCACTATTTGGCAAGATGACTAAGCCTTATATTGGCTACCGAGCTTACTTCGTCTTCTTCATCAGCCAACATCCTTGGTATCTGTTGTTCACTGAGTTGATTCTCCCCCCACCCATCTTGATGTTTCTTGGCATCTCTTTATGACCATTTATTTACGAGTTACTAACATTTATAGTGGCCAAAATGGAGCCTTGTTGTAAAGTGTAAAACACATTACCATTTATGAATGAGTTACTACCATTTCTAATAAGGCTTAGCAGTACAGATAAATGTGGGCTCACTATTTGGCAAGCACCCGGTCACAGTTGCCCTGTTTATCTCATGTCTTATAAAAGCTTATTAATGATTTATAAAGTGTTCACAACCTAATTAATAAATGAATTACAAACTATTCGTAAACCCTTTATAAGGGTAGTCTTATTGTAAAGTGGTACCGGGATCTTAAACGGAGCATTAATTAAATTCAATATGGGACATGTATATGGAGCAGAACTCATGTGTTTTTCTTCTAACTCTCACTTCCTTCCTCAGACAATGAGAAATTAATCAAGGCAGTGATTGTAGCCGGTCTCTACCCGAAGGTGGCCATGATCAAACCATCTCACAGCAAAAAGAGGCCGGGGTGAGTCTGCTAATTCAAAGAGGGAGCTGAACATAGACGGATAGCAAAGAGCTGCAGAGCATAAAGAAGTGCACGTCATTGTTATTGATAGACAGAAGTGGAGCCGTCACACTCAGTAGACCTCTCAGGTAAGAGCTGTGACAATTACCTGAGGCTGTGCCGAAACAATGTTAAGAAAATTATTTTAAAAAACAGAGGCTCTTCTGCAGCTAAAGATCACTGCACTCATCATAAAACTGCCCTCAGGCAGCTGTCGTAGAGTGTGTGCAAAAGACAGACACACGCTACAGGCAGACGGACCCACCCTCTCACAGTAGAGCTGTCACTGTTGTTCGTCAGTGACCCAGTGAGATTGTGATGGTAAGTCATTCTCAACAGTGTTGATGGCAAGCCAAGTGTTCCCGTCCACGCCACATCTCTGAGTTATTTCATGGATTTATGGCTCGATGAAGAACTTGTTGTTTGTTTTGCTGCTGTCTGGTACAAGCAGCTTTGTTCCCTGCAGTCAAGCAGTCTGTTTTGTCTTGCTGACACAAACACAGTGTTACTTTTATTGAAAGGTTTGCCGACTGCATCACAACTTGTCTTTGGAAATGAAGGAGGCTTTCTTTGTTGCGTCGTATGAACAAGACTAAAGCACCTGATGGGAGGTTTCCAAAACTACGTTCTCAATCAAATCCTTTTAATTTAAATGAAGATTAATTTTAACAAAATGTATTCTGGTTATTTGGACCAAGTGATAGAATAAAATAATATATCTGTTTTAAGTGTAATAAGGTAGGATCTCTGTAAAACATTAAAACATACTGAAAGGGTGCTCTCTGGTTTTCAGTTTTCCTCTAATAAGACAAAGGACAGAAAAAGATCAAATCAAAATCTATGCAGCATAAACGGAGTGATTGTAATTTTAAAAAATGGTCTTCCTTTTCTGGAGCTCACATATCAGCAACGCAAATTAAATTCACTGTACAGATTAAGGTTAGTTATACTAGTGTTACCAACATTGCCCCATGTGACATCATTTGAGACAATATTTGTATTATGTTATAAAATATTTGCAGTTCCCTTTCCCTTTATATCTCTTTATCATATACTGCAGTCCTGGAAACATGTGGCAATAATTCTGTTTTAAACCAGTTATGACAACTAACAATTATTTCAAATATTTAGGAAAATATAACTATAACAGTTTTCACAACACTGACGGTGTCTACTTCCTTGTTCTTTTTGGACAAAAGATGAAAACGTTAGTTGGTCCATAAACAAAGTTGCTGCAAAATGTCTGTCAACCAAGAAATCCCTAAATGTTGCCCGATCATTGCTTTTTCCACCTTCAGCAATGATACCAGTTTCTCATTCTCTCCTTTTCTCAGTTATGGAGATAACGATGCTAAGTAAATCGAGATGTGAACACACACGCTAACATATGTTATTTCTCAGGGTCAAGGTGTACACCCAGGCTGATGGAAAGGTGTGCATCCACCCAAAATCAGTCAATGCTGAAGAGACGGAGTTCAACTACAAGTGGCTCGTCTACCACCTGAAGATGAGAACGAGCAGTGTGAGTAGGCCAGGGGATAAATAAGCACTGCGTTTGAACTGCTGCATGAATGTTTATTATAGTTGAGTGTGCGTTGCTGGGTTGGATTTGTACATATGAAGGGTGCATGTGAGTGGAAAAAGGGCCATTGGTGAAAGGTTGGCAGTGGTGCCACGCCAGCTTTCCACTGAATGAATATTTGATTAAAACGCTGCCTTTCAACTCTCTCTCAAAGGCGCTTGTGCTTCAAAGCCTCCAGACACAATGTAAGAGGTGGTGGTGGTGGTGGGGGGGGGGCAAAACGGTCAATGCGGCTCCCTGGCCACTTCTATCTTTTTCTCTTTTGCTGTTTTTTCTACCCCTCTTCACCCTGCCATTTTCACCTCTCTCCCATCCACCCGCCTTTGTTCTTTCTGTGGTGTCTCTCGTTGTGAATGTTACCATTCGGCAGAAAAACACCTTTCATGTCCTCTCTGATTGCCGCCTGTGCCTTTGTCTCTCCCTTTGCTGCCTTGGTCTTTATAAAGATTGTTTTGTTGTTGCTGGATTTCACCATTATTTTTGCCACCATTCAATGTTTTTACATTTTTATTTATTATTTTATTTTTTGTGTGGTCTGTATGCATTTGTGTCTCTTATGAAAGTAAGGTATTCTGAGACTGTGAGATTTTCAAGGTTGCTTAAAGAGAGAGAAAGGAAAGCAGAAGACCAGGGCCATTTCAAAAATTGAAGGATGACGTCAAACTTTATCTCCTCTGACGCATGTGCCTCTGGTGATCCATTACATTACACATGCAGTTTTTTCTCCTCGTCTCTTTTCTTCACCTTTTGTCTACTTCTCTCTGAAGCTCCTTACCAACATTTCTTTATGTTACCTTGCTGAAATAGCTTTTGTTTGACTTGTGTCTGCTGCTTATGTAAACTATGGCTTTGGCCTTCAGAGTGTCTGCATACAGATCAGTGCACAACATAAAAGAAACAGTTCTATATACTGTCTGGGCATTGAAAACGTACCTTGTCATTTCTTTTATCAAATGTTTTTTTTTATTTGGATACACCTACTATGGATGAGCAGCTGTCACAGGGAGAGAAATTGATGGAAAACACATTTGCGAGATTCACTAGCAGGGCAACATGACATTTCTCCTAACACTGAAACACATTTCAAACTTGCACAGCCACTCTTCACCAATAGGACCGTAGGCTGTAGGGCCATGTGTGTCATAATGATCCCGCTCACTGTCACCGAGCGTGTTAGTTTGAAATCTCCCGTCGTGGTGTGTTTGCATCATCCCTCAGATCTTCCTGTACGATTGCACTGAGGTGTCCCCGTTCTCACTGCTGTTCTTTGGAGGAGACATCACAATCCAGAAGGACGAGGACCAGGAGACCATCGCCGTGGACCAGTGGATCGTCTTCAGCTCCCCGGCACGCATCGCTCACCTGGTCAAGGTAGGTGGCAGGATGCACTAAAAACAAAGCTAATGGTGAGTTGAGTTGACTGACCTCCCCTTCCGGTCTTTTTCTACAGAGTTTAAAGAAAGAGTTGGATTCTCTTCTGGAAGAGAAAATTCGTAACCCTGCTCCTGTAGACTGGCAAAACCGTCAGTCCAAAGACTGTGCTGTCATCACCGCCATCATAGACCTCATCACCACCCAGGATAAGCCTACAGTCAGCAGCACCAAAGGCACATTATGGAGGCCTGCTCCGAGAGGACAACACACTCACTTCAAAGACGGCAATGATGATGACGATGATGATTAGAAGAGGCCAGGTTCTTGGCTGGATATGAAAAGAATGACTTCGAACCTAAATCCTTGGACACAGAGGTTAGATGAGATATTCATAATAACCAGCTGGTCTCCTTGATGATGCTCCTGAAGGCCAAACCCAGGACGCAAGATTACTGGAGAACATTCTGCACTGTAATTGTTTGCCTATTCTGTCATTATTTTTGCAAGGACCAATCCGTGTTTGGATATCCTCAGTAGCGGTTTTGTTTATTTTGTACAATTCTGGTTAAGTTCTATCTATTTTTTATTTTCAAGCAATTTCACTTGTGGAGTGCGCAATAAAGAAAAAATGGACGAACAAAATGTCTGGGTCAGTTTAATCTGCCCTACTATGTTGTAAAATTGTAGGAATTCAAACACAAAATAACCATTACCCATGGAATGGAATTTTTCTGAGTGAATGTGGGATTGCACAATTTCTTCAGAGCTTTGAGAGAGCAATCACTAACATCACCTGGGTAGTATTTGGTTGGAATGAACACCTGCATTGCTGTAAACCTTCAGCAGCACACGGCTGCATATTTGATTTAAAAGCCCAAATCTCAAACGTGCTTTTGGCTCAAGGATTTATGCACCTTCTTGATGTATCTGCACTGAATGTCCAGAGAACTCCTGGTTGATTTATTTTGTTCACTTGATGAATAAAAGTAGTCACTTTCTTTGGTCTATCTATCATAGGTGCTTAGGGAAAAGAGATGTCTTGTTGATCATTGAGAGTCCATGACAGGCTCAAAGCAATCCAGCTTGTATTTATAGTGGCTGATTGAAATTCATAAAGTTGACAAGACAAGTTTCTGCAATATAAATCTGTATTTAAAAAAAAAAAAAAACAGTTACAATTCAGGCTGTTTTACATATTTACATGTTCACAGATTTACAATAGTTACAAGTCAAGGAAGCAATTGAAATAAAATTAAAAAAATATGCTTAGATGTGTGGTAACACATATTTCATTTTCCCTGAGTGCAAACGCAAAGCTTCATCTATACTCGGGTCCTTCCAGCTGGAGGCTCTGCCCGCTACTGTCATACCTCGCTTCATGCAGCTCAACGGTGGTTGTGGTTGTCATTTGGGCCGGGCCAGAGTGTTGGGATTGATGAGTTGTGTTATCATCACACTCTCTGACCAAGCCATTCATTTACTTTGGCTGGGCATGGCAACACTAAAAAGATGACTCACTGGACAATCCCATTAAAAGCAGGGCAGGACTGTTGCTCTCACCATCAGCACACACATTCATCTCAGCTTGCCTCTGTAGCATCGCAGATATAAATCCTAAGGGGAATATTTATATACACACCCCTGGCTGGCATCTAATGTGTGTGATATTTCAGGCTGTCCAAATCTTTGAGTGGATGGAGGGAAAATGGCACTTGTGACACAAGAGTAAAGTCTGATTCATGGTGATGACATTAACTGGTGACAAATGGCAAGGTAGAGAACAGATACTTGGCCCTTCTGCCTAAGCGGCGGATGACATAAACCTCCAAGAGGACTGTAATTCTTAATATCAAATTAATTATGAATTATTCTATTTACATTGGCATTCGGACAAGTTGCTCAACTTAAATCTTATTGTATTTTCTTGTAAACATAATTATAATCATTTCACTTGCCATCAGATGCTTCTGAAACGATTTCTTCACTAGCCCACACACTTGCCAATTCCACCGTCTTGCCTTGTTATCACTTCAACAATCAGAGTGACATTGTTACTGGCAACGCTCTAGTCACATGGCCTGATCCTCATTAACAGAGCTCACATTTGGCAGTTATTTTCACACTGTTTGGTCTACTTTACCTATAGCGGTACTGTAGTCTCATTATTACATTGCTCATCACAAGAAGAAATATGTTTGGAAAAAATAAAACATTTACAAATTTCACACCAACACTCGTTATGAAGCAGGGTGTTGAAAGCAGTGACTCGGGCAGTGGGTGTTTTCCAACCAAACGGGGAATGAATGAATGTGACAGATCCCACCCACATAGGAACTGATGATCAGTAATTAAGGAAATCTGCTCTCCTTCTGAGTTTGCTCTGAACAATCTTTGCTTTGAAACTCAGACGGCATGCCTGATATTTAGTGGAGGTGGAGCAGAAGTCTTAAGAATAATGGGTTCATCTTTAAATCACTGTAAGAAAAGTCTAGTTTGTTCCATTTCGTCCCTGAAGGCCGGTCACTACTGCTGTTACTGAACTCATACGTCTGGGTTTAAGTTTTAAAAAGGCAGGTCACTGGTGAGTCAAAGGGTGAGAAAGGTCCTCTGTGGTTTAATCATCCTGCTCACACGTTAGTTTCCAACCCCTGCAGGCGATCCATCCTCTGTATGTTGCGCTCAATGCTGGCCTGGCATGTGATTGGTTCGGCACACTCGGCGAGGAACCACCCCCTTTCTCCATCGCGCAGTCGCTCACCCTCATACCAGCCTAAGAGAAGAAATTGCACTATTACATGAATATTAAAGCACTTGTTGCTTTTTCTTATGCTATTACCATGACATTGCTTTTGATGGTCAATGCTCTCTGTTCTTTACATGAAAATCAGTTGCTATGGTCACCAACAGGGAAAGGTTCCCAAGGCCTCGGTATGTTTGTGTAGGTTTAAAAACACATCTTCAAACAGGTGTAAAGTCCATTATGTAAGACAGATGGGATTTGAAAAATGGCAAAGAGAGCTTATAAAAAGTGCATGATGAAAAGGATGCAGTTGAAACAGGTTAGTGGAACATGAGAGGAATACTAAAGAGGGTGAGGAAAGCTATAGAAAGAGCTAGAGAACAAGAGAGAGGGATTAGGACACGAGAGAGAGAGAGAGAGAGCGAGCTAACATACCATCTTCTACAGTCTGCGAGACCAGCACCACATCAGTCACCTGCAAGGACAACTCATCTGGCTGCTTGGCTGTGTACGTTCTGGTCACCTCCACCTGCATGACATCTAAAACAACACATGACAAGTCCATAAATCATTTCAGGTAAATGACACTGTCCCAAATTCAATATATCTGAGTTAACAAGTCAATTGTTTTGGAATTAATCTTTGTAAAACTGTTAATTAAAATGACCACAAGATGGCGCAATAGGCTAAAAAGGAGAGTTCAGTGAGCCTTTTCAAAACTGTGTGTGAAGAAATGTTTTGTAGCAACTTACAGGTTTTGTCCTGACTCTTGTTGTTGTTGACGTTTTGGCCCAGTGCGCTGATCCATCGGGCACGCTCATTCCTAAAAGCACAAATAACAGCACAGGAAGTTAGAAAAAATGTGTTGGCGCTGAAAGAGTCCTGAACACAATGGAGAGTAGTCATTTGAAAACTCCTTGAACTAAACAGCACTGTGAGAGTTGCTCACTTCTAAATTGTGATTAGGAGTTTAATTATTTGGAATAAATATTATAGATGTAGCTGTTTCAAGAAAACTATGCAGCTATAAACTAGGTAACATCAGATATAAGCAGCTTTGCGTGCACACACTTTGTCCCCTGTGGTCGAGAGAACAGAGGTGAGTTTTCAGAAACAGAGAGCTGAAGAGAACGAGCACAAAGGTGAGTCCCAGGAGGGAACAGACCTGCCTTTGCTTTCTCTCTCTCTTGTTGCTTTCATGGGAAAGAAAAACCTGTGGGTGGAGCCGCACAGGTCAGATTGCATTAAACTGCATCTCTCATTTCACCTGTTCTCGTTGACTACTGAAGGGGGGCGAGGATTTAAAAGAGCCACAGATGGAGAGATGAAGGGGGGTTGAGGAAATTAACCGAGGGGGTTGTTGAGGCCCCTGTGACTCAGCACTCTTGGCTTGAATCGTGCAGATAGGTACAACAATTCCCAGACAATCACAGGCAGTGTGGTATTTGAAATAATAATGAACCTTGATTTGTGTGGAGGCTCTTCACGAGGGCCTCAAACCGGCAAGTCCCATGAGTCAGACCTCATTATTGTGTTCTCATCGTACACATGCTGTTTTGGTCCTTTTCAGGACAAAGAAGCTATAAAAACGCTGGGTGACGTCATACTTCCAGAACTAATTGGACTTTATAAAACCTAATAAACTATTTATAACAATAACTTTCAGAAAATCAATAACCAACAATCCCACAATGCAACATTACCACTGATAAAGTGTGACCTTTGTAGTCAAATGATACATTTGACAGTCCACAACAAGGTCTATCACCTGTCGTTGGTACCTTCAATTTTAACCCTGTTTATTATTTCATATTCGTATTTGGTGTTTCAAACGTTCCTGCACTAAAATCAACAGACTTAAGATTGAGCATGCATTTGATCAGTCAATTTCCTTTGAAAGTAATTGATTTGCAGTTGCATTTAATTAGAAAGCAATTGTTTGTATCCAAATAAAATGATACCCCCAGAACTAGGTGGTTTAACGAAGCCAAGCGACATCCGAACCCAGATCATCAGTAAGATGAAAAGGTACCGGCTAGATATTTTAGGAATTAGTAAATGTGGATGGACAAGTTATGTATGTTAAACAAAGAAAGACGGATCAGTTTACCTCTACGAAGGGGATGAAGACAAGCTCGCAGTTTAAAAAAAACAACTTGGTATCATTCATGAAAAAACTTCCGCAAACTCACTTTGAGGATACCTGGATTGTCCTTACAGCTAACCCAATTAAACAAATCTTTCTGTCTCTCTGAGATGAAAACCACCTGGCAGAGAACTAAGACCGTGGAAATAATAATGGCTAGGCTATCCTCTGGCAAGGTACAACATGCTGCACCGAGTGGGACCAGAAGACAGCAGATATTAAGTACAAATGTGAACCTGCTGCTGGTGCTAGAGGAAAGGGGCTTTGATGAAGGGCCCGGTTACTTCTCTGCATTAAATGTGCAAGTTCTTCCAACATCTAAGCTGATCTGTGGGAACGGCATCTGTTAGTCTTTGCATTTGACAGCTGGACACATGCTGACAGATTCATGTGCACATACCCCACACACCATCATGACAGGTTGCTTTCTCAGGCTTAAACAGCTGACATACTTTACAGAAACTATGCGCATGTGCACAACGTATTCAATACATACAGCACAAGCGCAAACAGGCAACAACAAAATGTTTGAGAGGCATTTAATGGTTATCTGTGGCATGTGAGGCACATAGCAAAAGAGATTCGGGTAAAAAATACCAGGCTTCCAACTGTGAAGAGTGTGAATGTGTTTACATGCAGGCATGGGAACACTGTAGCAGGTGCATAGCCCCTTCTCCTCAAGACCACAAGCCTATGCAGGATCTGTGTATTCAACTAGTAGAGGTAGTTAAGCTCCCTCTGCCTATTACCATTCTTCCCAATGTTTAAGAGGATGCAAAGAATCATAAATCTATTGTCAGCAGTTCTTGTGTTACCCCTTAAAAGAGCAGAGGCCTGGCTGCTACCCTGTAAAACCTTTCTCAAAAGCAGATAAGGAACGACGACAGCTTCTTTCCTTCCCTTCTTTGCCAACTTAAAATCACCACCAGAACACTGTTTCTCATCTTTCCCAGTCCCCCTAACCCCTTCTGCTCACTCCTATCAATGTGTTTACGCTCCACCAAATCCCTTCCTGGCTTCTACTTAACC